TTTCCATAGTAAGTTTTTGATTATAATCAAGGCATGCAAAATACACATGAATAGACAAAATTCTATCTACATGAATGCGACATGATCTTAACTTCATCTAATTTATATTGAATATCGTGAAAAAAAAATTGTTGACTTGAACAATTCAAGTTTAAAATTTTGAAAAAAAAAGAAGAGTCAAACGCAATTCAAATTTAAACACCCAACCCTAAACTTGTACAACTCTTAACTGTCTCTCCCACACATGAATAATCTTGTTGCTGGGTACTACTTTGTCAAAGCAGTTGGTTTCAAGGATTGTGTGTGACTAAATTGAGAAGGAAAGGTTGGCATTCACAACCTCATTACTATTTTTTTTTCGGAAGGTAAATGTAATAATATGAAACAGATATACAAGGGTAATCACTCGCAAAATGTACAATGGAGTCACTTAGGACCCAAATACAAGACAAAAAATCCAAAAATCCAGGGCTCATGACACAAGTCTGTAAGAGATGCCCTAAGTAAGAGCATCTACTACAAAATTGTTGACAAGAATACAGAGCATGAAACCAATATATCAAAACACAGCAACCCAAGTACAGCAACAAAGAGCAAGCCAAAAGACAGTAGCAGAGCACGCCATAGTAGCAGAAAAAACCAACACAACGCAAAGCAGCCCATCTCAACATAGCAGCAACAAACATCAAGCGGACAACCTCAAAACAAAGCAAAATAGCCCAAAACAAAGCAGAAACAGCCCTACTCCACATAGCAGCAACAAACTATTTGCAGTAGAAGAAAACAGGACAAAGCAAGCCAGCCCAGCTCAACATAGCAACAACAACCCATATGCAGAAGTAAAAACAGAATACAACAAAGCAGTCCAGCTCAACATAGCAGCAAAAGCCATCAATCTGACACCCCTAATCAGCAGGTAGGCCACAGGACAAAGCAAAACAGCCCAACTCAACATAGCAGCGTTAAAAATTCTCAAACAAGAACAGAGGAGAGGATCCAATGATGCTCTTAGCATATAAGAGACCCTTCAACCATAACATACCAGCACAAGCAGAACAGCCCCAAGTCGCAGCACAGCCAGAGCAAACAACCCTTCATAGAAAAGGCAATACTGCCCAACAGCAAAAGGCCAGAAAAATGCAAAGCAAACCGAGGGATCCACGGTTCAACTCAGCTCAACACAAGCTTCAGGAAGGTTCCATTGTTGCAGCAGAATTGCATTTTGTTGAGTTCTTTTGAATTTCAAGGATATGGGCCTTTCTCTGATGGTTTGCGTGATGGAATGGAGAAGAGAACTTGGGTCTTTGTTCTACTTTTTGAAAATTCTCCCATTCCTCTCAGTCCACAAAGAATAGACAATAATAGAAAGACCAAGCATTAGAATAGTTGTCTTCATTGATTTCCCTCTCCACTGTTTAGCAGCCCAAGAAATTGAATCAGTCCATTGTCTTTGCTGCCACTGCTGGTTGCTCAGGAGCATAACACCATTCCAAACCTTGTTAAAGAAATTACATTCGAAAAACAAATGGTTGTGTGTTTCATTAGCTCTCCTACATAGAACACATTGTGGGTCAATCTGAGCTGCAAATCTTTGAATTTTGTCCTTGGTGCTCAGCTTACATCTGATAGCAAGCCAGAGGATGAAGGCTATTCTAGAGATAACTTTACCATACCAGACAAATTTATACCATTGCACAGTTGGACCTTCACTCCTGATATGTTCCTAGGCAGAATTAGCAGAAAAGTTACCCCCCACAGTTAAAGTCCACTTAACTGAATCCTCAGTATCTTGGTCAAGAAGATAGCTTGGCATTGCATCGATGATTTCCTACACTTGAATGGAAGTACCAATTGTCCAATTCCATTGGTTGTTCAAAATAATTTTGCTAACCTTCGCATTTCTTGAAAATCTGGATTCTAGCAAGATCCTTAGGTCGCTTATTTGAAGGAGTGTACCAAGGGGATGCTAGTTATCCAGCCACAGGCTAGTAGCATTCTCATTTCCTACCCTGTGGATAATGCATGGCTTGAGCAATTCTCTAAGTTTAAGCAAATTTCTCCAATTCCAAGAGCATGCTTGGGTGACTTTGAGGTCCCAAAGGATTCTCCCCTTGATGTAATAGGCATGAATCCACTAAGACCATAAATTCTCCTTGTCATTAAAAAGCTGCCATAGGTGACTCATAAACAGTGCTCTATTCCAATCCCTCAACCTTTTGATACTAAGCCCTCCTTCCTCTTTAGGTTTACATACCTCTTTCCAGGAGACCTTTGCTCCCGTATGACTAAGATCAATACCTTTCCAGATAAAAGATCTCAAGGTCTGTTCAATTCTATGAATAACCTTCTGTGGATGACTCAAATGAGAGGCCCAGAATATGTGCAAGCTGCACAGAATAGAAATGACCAACTGAACTCTACCAACATATGAAAGTGATCGATTAACCCAAGACTTAACTATTGATTCCACCTTTTCAATAAGACTGGAGTAGTGTTGATGCTTCAAACCAGACGAAATGAGTGGAACACCTAAGTATTTGATTGGCAGATTCTCTTCCTCAACAACAAACAAATTCTTGATATGACAAGCAATATCTTCATTTATCGCACACAAGAAAATATTACTCTTTCTTGCATTAACATGGTGTCCTGATGCCACACTGAACTGGTCCAAGGAATTCTTAATCACAGAGGCAGAGTTCATGTCAACCTAGCAAAACAACATCAAGTCATTAGCAAATGAAAGTTGGGCAATTTTGAGAGTTTTACACCTCCAATGGAATCTGAAGCTTGGATTTGAACTAATGTTGAACTGGATAAGAAGAGATAAACACTCCATTGCAATAACAAAAAGGTAAGGGGACATAGGGTCATCGTGCCTTAAACCCCTCCTACTAGGGAAGTATCCAACTAGCCCACTATTGATATTCATTGAGAATCTAGCAGAGGTAACACATGCTTGAATCCATTTCCTCATGGTGTAAGGGAAATTAAGAGCCTCCAATGCTTCAAACAGAAAAGTCTAGTCAAGTGTGTCATAAGCTTTCCTCAAATTCACCTTTAGAGCACATCTAGGGGACCCTTTATTTTTATGGTAATCCCACATTAACTCTTGAGTGAGTAGAATATTGTCACCAATCTTTCTTCCCTGGACAAAGGCTGCTTGGTTTGGGTTTATAAGACTAGGAAGAGAACCTTTAATCCTATTGGCAATAATCTTGGATATAGTTTTATACATGACATTGCAACAAGAAATAGGTCTGTAGTCCCCCATAGTAGTAGGATTGGGAACCTTGGGTACTAACACAATGATGGTACTGTTTACCTCCTTCAATAACTTTCTCGTTGAGAAAAATTCCTTCACAACAGCAACAATGTCCTTCTCTATGATATGTCAAGCCCTTTTAAAAAACACAGCATTGAACTCATCAAGGACATGAGGCTTTTTGGTCATTGAAAGAGAAAAAAACTTTCTTGATTTCCTCCTCAGTGACTTCCCTTTCCATTTCAGCGGCTTGTTGATCAGTAACTCTGTTTTGGATAATCGGTTGCAATGAATCCTTGCTCTCATTTGAATAGGAGGGCCATCCTAGGAGCTTTTGAAAATAATCCAGAGCCTCAACTTTCACAGCTTGTTCCCCCTTAACCTTATGCCATCAACTCTCGTAAGAGCCAAAATCATTTTTCTGTTCCTTCTATTGGCCACAGTCTTGTGGAAGAAAGATGTATTCTTGTCCCCTTCGCTGAGCCATTAGACCCCAGATTTCTGTTTGTAAAATCCCTCCTCAATCTTAGCAACTTGAATGTACTTTGCAAGGAGTTGTTGTTCCTCTTTATTCATGGCAATGTCACTTGGGTTACCATCCAGCATTCTCTGACATCTCTCCAAAGCTTCTTTGGTTTTTTTGGCTCTAATTGTAACTTCCCCAATATTCTTGGTTATCACTGTAAACATTGTCTTGAGAAGTTTGAGTTTGCAGCAAACACGATACTGACAAGTCCCTTGTATAGGCTGTGACGAAATCTGATTCACCAAGTCTAAGAAATCCTCTCTCTCAGCAAGGAAGTTAAAAAATTTGAAAGGGTTGTTTCTCCTTTCCACTTGAAGTCCCAAATGCACAACAGCAGGACTATGGTCAGAAACACCAAGAGGTAAAAAATCTGCCATAGCCTGTTGAAATGTGAGGCTCCACCTTTCATTACCACGACTCTATCCAGCTTACGAGCCACACATTCAGGATCATCTCTCTTATTACGCCATGTAAATTGAATACCTGAGTACTTGAGATCAATAAGCTAGGAATCCTGTAAGCATTTATCAAATTCTTCCATTCCAGAGTTCCATCTGTTCTGTCCCCCTTCATTTTCCTGTAAGCTCCTAATAGCATTAAAATCACCTAAAACCACCCAAGGTTCATTTGAGAGATACTAGCATGGTAGATAAGATTTCTCCGTAATGGTCTTCTTTCTCTATCATCATTAAATCCATAGACAAAAGAGGTTATGAATTGTACCTTACTCTCAAGATGCTTGATCTTGCAATGGATAACTTGATCAGACTCAGAGAACTTACTAAGGTCCACATTATCTGGGTTCCACCCAATCCATATCCTTTCAAAATTATGACTATCATAGTTTGCTAGACAATTCCAATCTCTAAAGACCCCCTGTATGATTCTATTTTTATTTACTGGTTTCACCTTTGTTTCAACCAGCCCCAAAATATCAAGCTTTTGTTCAAAAATAATTTTCCTAACCTCCCCATGTTTAGAAGTCTCATTAATACCTCTAATGTTCCAACATGCACAATTCATTGAGGGGGTTGGATTTTTCTGAGCAAGTGGTGCTCAGCCACCTTGGACTTTGAGTCTTTCTTCTTCCCTTTCTTCTTTTTGTTTGGCATTTGTTGAAGTTTAGCACTAATTAGTTCCTCCTCCTTACGGACATCCTCGGTTGTTTCACTTGGTACATTTGCTTTAGGCTCGATCTCCCCTTTTAAATCAACCACAATTTGCCCCCTCCTTGTTGAGCTCCTCAAATTTGTTAGATGCCAAAGTAACACCAGCTTGCATGAGCAGTTGGGGAGGGGTACTCTCATTGACTGTTATCTTAGTGATATGGTGATCATGACCCAAAATTTCTTGTTGAGAAGAGGTAGAGGCGCCACCTTGGATAACCATTCCCATATTATTCTTGACCGTGACCAAGGAAGAAGCTTGGTAACCTCCTATCAATTCCTCTACTTGAGTCTGACCAGCCTCTTGCTGTTCTAACCCAGTCATAGTTGCAATTGCCTTTCCATTATCTAGCCTATCTGAGCTAGCTTGTAAAGGAGCTGGTTTGGGCTTCCAGCTTTCCACAGTTCTTTGTTTGGGACAGGTTGACTCGGTGTGACCAAAAATGCAGCAGTTATGACAAATTTTAGGTCTCCATTGGTACTCCACCTTGACCTCTATGGTTTCAATTTTCCCTCGGATGTTCATGAGGAGGTCAAAGCTCTCAACCAGTTTTTCAATAGCATTCACCTCCACACATAATCTTGCGTAACTTAATCTCTTCTTATTTGCAGTAAGAGTGTCATTTAAAGCAGTTTACCCACTACACTAGCAAGGTAGCTTAGACCTTCATCACTCCAAAATTGGAGGGGGATGTTATGTAACTTAATCCATAGTGGAATTACATAGTGATTCTCTTTGGTTAGACAAAGATCAAGATGCCACTTTTTGATGATGAGTGGCCTACCAGAAAAAAGCCAAGGGCCAGCTTCACATACTTTGGTTCTAAACTCATCATCCATGAACTTAAAAAAATGGAACCCCTTTTTCATTTACATAAACCTCAAGGAGGCCCATTTTGCCCCAAATCTTGTGAGCTATAAAGCTAACAGATGTCAAGGGGAGTTTTTTCTCTATGAAGTAACCAACGAAGCAGTTTCTCCACTCATGACAGCCCTTAGAGACAACTTCCATGGGGGGATGCACAATGATTCTATTCTTCTCTTTTTTGGGTTCAAAGTATTGAAGGTTCATTACCTTAGAAGAGTGTTGGTGAGGAGAGTTGGATTTTTCCANTTAGTTTGTGGAACACTCATATGCTTGCTTGGATGCTGCCCATTAGAAGATCCCCCAACCGTAGGAACAGGGGAAGAGTCCCGAACACTGTTACCCGTAGGGAGAGTTGGGAACTCTTGGATGTTGTGGTGGTCCTCTATCTCAACATCAACTGTGGTTGAAGTCGCGCATGGAGTCTTGTTTGCAATAACTTTATTCGGCAAAGATGGTGGGTTTGGGGGAGTATCTTTTTGTTCACTGCCTAGTGATGTTTTAGTGAGAGATTGGAGTGACCCACTTTCATTAATAGCTTGGTAGTTGGTAGAACAAGTAGGAGCCCCATTGATCTTCTTTGGATCTTTAGAAGTCAATGCCTCCCCTGTCATGGCTGAGCTGGAACGGTTTGCATAAATCAATTGGAAAGAAGGTTGAGCAAAGGATAAGCAGAAGAAAACAGAGGACGAGAAGAAGAGGGGATTTGAGTGAATGAGGTGGGTAGCGGTAGGAAATGGAGGATTGAAGGAAATAAGGGGAGGATGAGAAAAAATTTGACATGGAAATTCTAGGGTTCAATGAGGTTGGGGAAAGGCACAGAGAGCCATGTATTCAATTCCCAAAAGATTGACATTTAGGAATTGGTGAAGGATTTTTTTAGCATCATTACTGTTATTGAGAGGATCAATGGCAAATGCCTTACTTTTCCTTTCTCTTTGTGTACTGGGTGCTTTAATTTATTGCCTCAGCCTATTGATCTAGAGCCATTTGTTGCACATGATTGGAGACACACACATAAGCTAAATAGGAACTTACAGTATCGGAATATTGGGTTTGAGTTTTTAGTGTTTGAATTTGGTAAGTTTTACCATTTAATTCCAAGTGCTTTTGGGAAGTGACCGTTAGATCATAATTTATTGGCTCACATAGAAAGAACTTACCAAAGGGTACGGTGCATAGTTTCCATGACAGCTTAGTGCATAGTTTCCATGACAACTTAGTGACCCTTGGATTTCGATCTAACTATTCACGTGAAAAATTCCTACCAAAGATTGTGGTGCATAATTTCCATTACCGTGCTACTATATATATACACACGACATACATATTGCATCAAAAGTTACATAATTTTGATTCTATAGTCATTCAAACCTGACTAGCAAGCAGATCTCTAATTTAAGTAAATCATATGTCAACAGGCAATGAAGCTTCAAACCATGATACCTATTGAATGTCCAAAAGTACAAATACGATGAGAATTAAAACCATCAAGTATTTAGACAGAAACTTGCTAACAAGCATAACTTCTCTTATAACTGCATAACTTTTTTTTTTGTGTCAGAAAAATGCCTTGATGGTTTGAATAAAGGTAAGCACAAGCAATATAACTGCAGCAACAGTGGAAGTAGTTCTCCAGGGAGTACTGAAATAATCACGTTTCAGAGTTGCCTTCTATTTATGTCGTGGGACATTGCAATATTTATTCACGCCCTTACATATGTCACTGCAGAGCTGTCGTCTACCAGGCTATAAATAACTCCACATCTTGAGCAGAGTCAATAAGCCTATCCATGAAAACAAGATAATCAATTATGTAAGTATCAGGGTAATAATGACATACCTCCAGAGCAACAAGGTTTCTAAATAAAACTTCGGTCCCGTCTTCTACAATTAATCTAGGGACTGGTAACACTCCATTTATATATGTTATGCCAAGTAAACGATGGTTTGATGATGCACTCATAATCATTCCTGCCTCTTACATCTCCGTTGCTTGTGGCATCTCTGAAAAATAAAAATCTTCTTCCCAATCCAATGACCGTGGACTTGACGGTAAGAGCCATACCCTTAGCAAATCAACAAAATGCTTCACTTCAGTATTTGATATATCCAGTGCAATGTCCTCAATCGGAACGAAGGCTCAGATGCAAAACATAGAAAGCTGGGGGAAAGAGGGCAGGTGGTAGTCTGGGTTTGAATGGAATGCTAGGTTGAATAGACCCTCCATTATAAAGAATGGAAGCTGATTTTTCAAGTAATATTATGTCTGATTTCACTTGAGTAATCACCCGTTGATCACTTAGATGGTCAAGTAATATTACGCCTTCTAGTTCTACCACTTGATCATCAGCATATCCAATATTCAAAAACACCTCAATGATGAAACAAGAATCCAAAAGGATCATGTTCACAAAGCCATCACTATTAAGCTTATCAAATCTTTCTGCATAACAATTGCGAACTCCCTGTTCCAACTCTTTTATCATGCTTACACAATCATCCAAAGTGATGTGAATACGACCAAGGAATGCTTTCAAGCACCTTAATTTGAACTCTTCCAAGCCTACCAACTCCTTTTCTGCATGGTGTAGAGGGCCAACAGAAACTATTTGGGGTGTATAGGCTTTTGGGTTCCGTTCTCGAATTCGTCTTGGAACTCTATAGATACAGTATTCGGGCGATAAGGAAGGTAAAGCAAGTATGTTCTTCTTAATGGAATGTACCAATGGAATATGGGGATATTTGTCCATTCTTTTTCTGGTACCTGGTGACATTTTAGAGAAGAAAGAAGGCACAATCAACACATCTTCCGTCATGATTAGTTGGCGAAAAAAAAAACCCTAAGTAATGTAGGGCATACTTTCGCAGCCTATAGTCCCACGAAGCTATTGTCAGGTAGATTGACGTGTTAACAGACTTCTTTATGCTCAAGGGTGGAGCCCAGATTTTGCATTAGAGGTGGCAAACGATTACCGAAAAAAATTTCACTATTTTATACAAAAACATTTACATGCATTAAAAAATATATTAGAAAGTAAATCCTTCACCAAAAGCCCGTTAGTTTGATTACAACTGGTAAAGTTAATTATTAATTTGCTTAGTTTTGGTCACCTAGCCTACATAGACAGAGACAAAAGAATAAAGTGAAGATGATGCATCTTTCCTACATTCAAGAAAAGTGTTTGTTTTTTTTTTTACTAGTAGTAGTGAAGTGAAGTTTTAGATCTATCCTACATGTCATCTATTAATTGATTATATTGCAAAACAAGATGCAATGTGTAAAAATTTATTCAACTCATATTTGATCCATTTATAATTATGTATAGTTAAGTTCATATCGTATCAAATTTGTGTTGTGTATAACCCATATTAAGCCATATTTGTATCTTGTTTGCCTAGCTCATGTCAACCAATCTTATTTCCCAAGTCCAACATGTCCACTCATTGGTCACCCGACTCCTTAAAACTAAATCTCAATCTAATTTTTTGTTGAATTTTCAGATCATGTTTAAATTTGTGAGGCATACTCACAAATTATACATTAAATTAGTGAGTTTGAATCTAACTTTATTGAGTTTGGATAATGAATGGGTGTTCAATACTAGAGATGCAACTACGATGAAGTAGGTGAATTAAAAGATTAGTCCAAATTTGAAAATGTTCAATTTGAACCCAATCCAAACCTCAAACTCCTACTGCCCAAATCTCAAACTTTTAAACTCAGAGGAGTTATAACTGATCTTATAGGAAATACATACCATGCCTTCTCTGAAAAAAAATGATGGCCTCTAAAACATTATAACACTAAAAATAAAATAGTTTAAAATCATGATCTTCACTTGCGGCAAAGTTTGAAACTACCTTCACAATAGTCGTGCATATATTTGTCATGACAGACTGATGATTTGAGTATCAAAATAGATAATAACCTAACAAGAAATAATTAATATACGCACATAAAGACACAAGATATTTACATGGTTTGACAAAAAATCTTGCCTACATTCATAGAGTGTGACCTAGATCATATAGAGCAATAGTGTAAAAGTAACAAAATTTAAAAATATTTGAGAGCTGGAGCACTTTGAGAACGTCATACTAGATGCTTCAAGACAAATATTCACCAATAAAAATTCATAAAAATAAAATATAAAAAATTAAATTTCATGCACAACTATGTGGAATGCTATTTATTTTTTAAAGTTATATTGATTATAAGGTCTTGAAATAGCAATTATAAGTTACAAATATCATTCTACTATAATGTGTACCTTTATGTATGAGTCAGTACTTTTCAAATAAAAATTTCAATAATAATGAGTAAGCAAATAACTAAGTAAGAGTGCAAATTTGTGAATTGAAAATTTGAATTCTCGCTAAATTAAAGCATAATAAAAATTGAAAGTAATTGAACTTACTTATTTAAAGAGCTCTATGTGCCAATTTGTTTGCTCCAGCGAGTGCAACCAATTAAGAGAACTATATATAGGAATACATGGGTACCATGGAGGACTTCTTTATGCTTAACTATTATTTCAAGTAAAGTATTTGTTCTATTTGTCTAACTCCAACTGGTAAAGTTTGCTATTTGCTTAGTCTGATGATCAAGCTTCAAAAGAGAAAGACAAAAGAATAAAGTTAAGGTGGTGCATGTTACATACAGTCAATAAAAAATTAGTTTGTGATGGAGTCATTATACTTTCATTTCCACATTATAATGTCATGTAATTACCTGACAATAATTTAAAAAAAATAAATAATTTGGTCATTTAGTCCAATAGTACTCCTTATCTTGTCAAGATTTTTCCTTCTTCAGGTCAAGGGTTCAAGTTCCTCCTCCCTCTCCCCCTCCCCCTCCCAAAAAAAAAAATTACTTGACAATAATTTATCGTCACAAATAATAGTTTCACATGGTAAAATAAAATTGGGTCGTGAGTCAACATATTACTTTTTGATATAAGCTATATTTATAATCTAGTTTTACAAATAAATTATATATTTTTTTAACTTCCTTTGTTTATCAAACTCGTCCAACCAAATATTTTCGATTATAAAACCATCATTCATCCATGTGTTACATCTCACACTTAGCTTTTCAATACCTGGTCTTTTCACATGCATCAAGTAAATTGTCTATGCATAAAGTTTTTTAGAACCTAAGGAGAAACATAGGTTTTTTTTGTAAAACTTATGAGATGTTATAGTGATTTTTGAAAATTTGAGTGTGTCATGCCCCTTTAGGCCCCTTCATAGTTCCGCCCACCTCGTGGGTGAATTGATATAAGACGTCTTATCTATTAAGTTAATGGTGATATTTTATATCTTATCTATAAAGCTAATGGTGATATTTTGTTATTTCTTCACCACAAAAAATATTTTTACATTATAAAGAAATAGCACTTAAACATATCAAATCGAGCGGGGTATATTAATATATCATAAATGAATAGAGCTTGAGCATATCAAATCGAGTGGCACTCAGTTTTGGACTGAGATGGAATATTTAGAAATTAATTGACACTCAATTCATTTGAACTTGAAAGAACTCAAATCAAGTCAAACTCAAACAGTAAATTCAAATATATATGGCCTAAATACTAAACTCAAAGAA